AACCTATAGTGCCAAAGTCTACTCATGTCCGCCTCTGAAATAGCTGAAGCTACCTGGCCAATTTTGATGTTCCCCTTCAGATAATATAAGTTTTGACTGTGGACTTCCTTCATCACCATCAAAGATCCCTTAGTAACCTTTGTTATAGCGTCTTCAAATGTTACCTTGAATCCCTTTGCCTTCAAAGCTCCAATAGAAATAAAATTCTTCTTCAGCTAAGGAATAAATCGCACCTCCTTTAATTCACGAACTACTCTATCGTTGTTCGCGGGGAAAACTGTTTTCTTCATTGAAATAATTGTCATCTTGGATTACAAAGATCCGGTCTTTTATAGATCCGGTTACAACTAAATCAAAGAAAAAAAGTGAAAATTACAACTTTCCTCTTGTGAACAAATCGCGAGCTCCTGTTTTGCGGTCGCTCGCTTTGGTGGGTTCTTTGCCAACGCCGGGGTTAATCCGTGGACCACCGCGCGATCTAGATCCGGTCGGATCTACACGATTATACGGGTATTATTCCACGAAGGGAATAATAGCCGGGAGGGATTAATCCACCAAGGGAATAATCGCTCGGATCTCGAGATCTAAGACCAAGCTTAGATCTGGAGTGTAGTCTCGTGTAGATCTCAGATCTGTTCTTTCTTCCTCTCGAAATCCTGCCTTTTCTGACGTGGATGCTCGCCGAGGATCAGATCCGAATGTGCAAGTCTTCAAGTCTTCAAAGCTCCGAGTTCACTCTTCAATCCGGCAGAGTTTCGGCTCTTGAAAGTTCGACCTCTGAAAATGAACATCTCTAGGCCTATTTATAGGCTCTCAGGGCCTTGGCCGAGCCACCTATGGGTGGCTCGGCTTAAGCCGAGCCCCCTTAGGTGTGGGTTTTCCGAGGTCTTGTGCTGTCTCGTTTGTCCGTGTTTTCGGTTGACTTAAACTTTGATTTGTTGATCTGATTTGGCAGTAAGTCTGATTCCTGATTTGGCAATAAATCCGCTTCTGAGTTCGAGTCCGAAACTGATCTTAATTCGATCGCGATTCGTCCGAGTCCGCTCTCGGTTGGATGACTCATTGATTCCTCAACTCGTTAGCTTGATTCTGCACGCGGGTGGATTCATTCCGTTGTTCGCGTGCGATTTGTCGATCTCGTCGCCTCGTTGGTTCGTCGGTTTGTGCCGAGCTGTGCTAAGGGACCTATAAGCAATTTTATATGCCTACAGATACCCCCTCCAAAGTATTTCAGTCTCGTTCTTTTATAGAAGAGTCTGGAATACTTTGGATATGATTGCCTCCCACCTTCAGTCGGTGTAATGAAACCTTTGGAATGATCTTCGTTCTTGATTCCTTCAATCTTCCAGGTTATTCGGTGCTTTGTCGAATATCTGTAAGAGTTCCGGTGCTGCATTTATTGTCTGACCGTTGTCGGAATTTTAAACCTGGAGTTGATTCCTGATCTTTTAGCTAAACATCGATTGTTGGCGTCGAGTCTTTATTTGCAACGCGTTGTCCGGCGTAGTGTTGTTGAGTTATCCTTAAGAATATTTATAAAAACATATTCTCCAGGAACTTCTCAAACCAAAAATAGGGAATAGTTTATACTCATATACCTTGTTGGAGTGTTTCTGTGCCCAAATGAGCTGAACCGGCTTAAAATGAGCCAAAAAAGGCAGTAAATCGGCTCAAAAAATCCTCCGACTCTTCCGAACAAATGGGAGAGGAGTGAGTGAATGATGGACTGAACCGTCGCTCGATTTGAAGTCATTTCGATGCTCGGTTCGGCTTCACTTTAGCTTCCGGTTCGAACCCGGTCCGGTCCGGTTCTGTTCGGTTTGGTCTAAACCCGGTCCACCCTATATAAAAGGGGGTCTTTTTTCTTTTCTTTTTCTTTACCCTAGGGCCGGCCATCTCCTCTGCCTCTTTTTTTTGAATTTCTCTTCCCTTGAGCCTCCGTTCTCCCTCAAAACTCGATATTCGTCTTAGATTCATCCTTCCTTTTGATCCTTGACTGAGAAATCCCTTGAAACTTCCATTTTTGGAATTTCTCTCAGGCCCCTCGAGCGCGTGGTCTGAGCCTCTTTCAAGAATTTTAGCATTTTTTATGCTTTATTCAATTTATGAATTTGTGGGACCACGGGTGAGGGTTCGGATTATAATTTGGCACCTCGAGCTTATCTTTTAGGGGATAAAAATGTGATCTTTTTTTCTAGATCTGACCTTTTGATTTATTTTTTGTAGGCCATTATGTCGCGAGTATCGAGAGGTCGTTTTCCTGCTGCATCGGCTGATGGCGCGCTTCCTTCATATGCTGGTGAGCTACTTTTTTGGCATATTCGCAAATTTACAAATTAGTCCTCTTTTTTCTGGATATTCGCAAATTGGTCCCTTTTATCCCCGTTGTTCTCCTTGGTGAGGCAACCGGTAAAGGCCTTGGTTCTCCTTGGTGAGGATCGACGCTTTATGGAAATTTTACAAATTAACCCTCTTTTTCTGAAAATTTGCAAATTAGTCCTTTTACCCCATTTTGCTCTCCTTGGTGAGGCGATCGGGAAAAGCCTTGATTCTCCTTGGTGAGGATCGACGCTTTAAAGATGGGTTTTGCTTGGTCAAAACCACATCTCATAATAAAGGGGGCGTTTTGACGCTGCATCGTGCTTTATAAGGCAGGGATATATTGTCGATATACCCTATCTTATAAATGCGCAATGTGGCCAAATCGTCTCGCCCTTTATAAGGCAATGACTCTATCTTACCAATTTGTAAGATGAATTCAATTTCCTTTTATATCTGAAATTAACAAACACTTAACTGCTTGTTTTCAGTGGAATATCCTTCCGGAGCTTTTTCGTCGCATGCGGTGAATGGACGTCGTGACGAATATTATTCGACGTCTGATGACTTTTCGCCCATTCCGCCTACTGCTCAGTTTGGTCCGGGCACGTCGCTGGAAGTTGCCCAAGTGGTGAAGGAAGGTGGACATCGAGCCCTTCGCCAGCTGATTACAGATGCGCCTCTCGTGCAGGATGCCGGTTCCGTTCAGTCTCTTAGGAAGACTGACTTCTTGTTTGGAGACTCTACCAGGGATCCCGATGCAGTATTTATTGAGGCTGAGCAGTGGCTTTACCAGACTGGCAGTCGTTATATGTATTTGCCGAAGATTCCTCGACACCGTTCTTTGACTGAGCTCAGGCGCCAAGCTGTGAAGCGGGAGATGTCGTGGAGTTTGACAAAGGAACATGAGAGCGTTCACTGCGGCTATATTACTCATCAGGCAGTTCCTGGTTCGAGTCGAGATCACATTGTTGGACTACATCCTGGAGTACTGGGGCTAGATACTCCGCCTCGCAATGAGTTCCTCACCACTGCTTCTACTTTGAGGAATCGCCTCGCTATCTTAGGACGGGAGATGCCTGCACCGCGCCACAGATTCTATGGTTGGGTCCATTCTTTGGACAGGTTTTGGTGGGCTCGTATGACGAAGTATGTCTTGAGCCGATGGAGCGAGGAGTTACATGCTTGCGGTCTTTATGCAGCCATTCGGGCCACTATGCATGGCTTGCCTACAAGCGCGAAGCATTTCTTTGCCCTATGCGAGCTTTACAATCCAGATTCCAACACTTTTCTGACCAGGCACGGAGAGTTGGGCTTGGCTCTACATGAGATGCACAAGATTTCTGGTTTGCCCATGGGACAGATGTTATACCAGGAGTACTTTCCCTCCAACCATGAGTTGAGTCAGCTGAAGGATCGCATGCCCGACCGCTACGAGACCTTATGGGATCTCACTTGTCATTACCACATTGCTTTGGCGCAGTCTAAGCCCCTAGCGAAGAGGACCAAAGCAAATGTGAGCCTGAAGCAGTTCGCATCATACTTGTTCAGGAATCTGGAGAGCCATTCTGGCCAATCTATTTGTGAACTGGCACCGCTGACTCCTTCAGAGGTTAATGAGCTGCTGAATAAGACTAACGCCCAATCCTATACCATTAGCAGTTCCGAGAGCGGC